TCTTTCAACAAATATCCCCTAAATTAGTCAGCTGCAATAAGCTGCCTTTCAATAGTTTCTGACTTACTGCCTTTGGAGGGCAGATCCTCCTTGTACAGCTTTACCTTGTCCCACTAAACCATTTTTTTGTCTCCTGGAGCACTGGAAGCTATGCTTTTCTACAGACTTGGGTAAATCTACGGTGCTTGTTAAAAGGGGGCACTACAAATACTGGCCAACTGTCCTGTAGCAAACAAGGACCGTAGCGGAGGCCCAGCAGTGGCTGGGTCCATTGGGTCAGAGCAGGGAAAGGGGCTATAGGTTCCATCCCCCTGCTTTGCAGCCAGTGATTGCACATTGGCAGCCTTTGCAGCACTACCAATAACCGCTAACACTGGCAATACATTGTCATCAGATCCAAAAAGTACCTTTTACAGATGAAATGGGTAACTGTTCATGCAATGTGGTTACTCTGTTCCCATCTCCTTTCCTAGAACAAATGCACCTCCACCCCACTTCACTCCTCTCGCTATCCAGCTCCAAGTTGACCAGAAGACCCGAGGGGGCTCAATGGAGATCTGCTAAACTGTGCAGAGACACAGGAGGGCTGGAGTTGAGAAATCAAGGGGAAGGGGGGACAAAACTTGTAGCTCTGGGACACCACCTCCTGCACACAAGCATCTGAGATGCAAGCTGCCTAAGCATCTGTAAAGGTGAACAAGTGTCCCCCACTCTGGAAAGTGGGGTAAGCACCTTCTTGCATAAGGTAACCTTGTGGGTGGACTGGGAGCAAAGATTGGGATGGGGAGTCTCCACGAGGAGGACATGGGAAAGGAGAAATGAAAAGGGATGTTTAACATACGAGGAGGGATAAAACTGTAGTCTGTTCCTTAGGCTTCTTCCCCTGAGAAAGATAGGTGCTTTTTACCTCCAGTAGTGTCCATGATAATGGTATCAAGAGCAGATTGCAAAGCCATGGGGGACCAGGCACTCCTTAGACACAGGTTCCGCAGTCCCTACACAGGTGTACTGACATGAGAACCATACGGAAGAAAAGTTTTTTGTGGGACACCATTGGATCCATACTAGGGATAGATAGCCAACTTTGTACAAAAATCCTTTCCAAATGGAGTAAAAAGCTAAGTAGGGGAGCAAACAACTTGCTAGGGTGTTTCCAATTTCCATAGCGAAAGTTGAAATAGCAGGTGTAATGGAAAGGCCATAGGGCATCTAAAAGAACCAAGACTGGCAACCACACTGGTAGAAGCAATAGGCTCATTCACAAGTTGCACAAGAGCTGAAACAGACCTCTTGGGAGTAAAAGCTCCATACCACGATTCCTAGAAAAAACATGTAAACAGCGATCTCGGATGGGCAAAAAGTTGGCTTAGAGGCGTGTATGCAGCCCTGGAAAACAGGAGGAGAACCTGTGAAATGTAAATGTTCAAGAAACCAAGAAAGGGCGCAGAGAACACTGGCTTTAGCTAGCCAGTGTTCTCTGCGCCCTTTCTTGGTTTCTTGAACATACCACGATTCCTCCAGGCAAAGCTCATCCGGCAGTGACTCAGAATCTGACCAAGTCTCTGCAGCCAATGGCTCAGAAGCCGCTAAAGGCCAAAAGCAGATCAGATTCAGAATCTGCAGGGAGGGCACAGAAATGTTCTTGTAGCTTCTGTGGTCAGAGTTGCCAAATAACTGGGTGATTTGGGCCATAAAAAGTCTTGTATGAGTTTAATGAAAACGTCAGCCTGAAAGGGTCGAGGAATTAGCCACACTCAACAGAGCTAAAGAGGACTCAGATGACAGAATAGACTTTAGGAGCAGAGGGCAACATAATTCTGGGCTGCAGATATTAGCACCATCAGTAGGGCCCATTGCAAACAGCCCTGGAGTGCGAGTGTCCTTGAGGTGGCAATATAACCCAAAAGGTGTGCCCATCAATGGATGAGAAAGAAAACCACGTGCTCTGGTCAAACACCTCACTGTTGGGACATACCTGATCTATATCTTCTCACTCACTTTTGGTAGGGCACCTTAAAAAATGTATTGTGTTAGCAAAAGCCAAAAACCATCATAGCTTGACCACTATTTACATAATAAAGCACCAGTGGTTTTACACCTCAATATGCACAGTAGTAGGAACAAATGTGACATACAGACACTTAGAGAATCTACTAGTTAAGGTTCATCATAAAATTGTTTTATGCAAAGGTTTGCACTAGGCAGAGTAACATGCCAAGAGCTTAACCAACAAAAAAATATCCATACTGCAGGTCAGTCGCTTTAAATGTTTGGAACATCTCGCTTTGACAGCAAAAAGTTGGGCAGATTCAAGGCTGCAGTTAACAATATGGACCAGTGTGCCATCTTCCTTAGCAACATGTCCATTGCTAAGTATTTGTTTTATCTCTTTACTATTCAGTTGAAAGTCTACCCATCTCCTTTACAGTCTTCCCTTGTGAGCCGCCCTCAAGCGGACTATTCTTAGGAAAAAATAAATAATGGAAAACTCTTGTTGTGATTCCAAAATGTTTTCTTTTTTTTTTTTAAGATCCACCCAGTCTCCCCGCCTTATGAGAACTGGAGTGAATCCTCAGCTTGGGGTCCAGTGTGGGCTGTTGTGCTGTGATGGAGCTCCATCCGTATGTGCATTGCTTGTACAGCTCCCTTGTGTGCAGTGTAGAGGTGCCAGGAGCCAGAATGCGACATCATTCCGGTCCAGGCACCTCTATAGGACATGCGAGGGAGCTGTGAGCAACACGCGTATGATGGATGGAGTTCCCTCACGGCCATGCCGCATATTCTGAATGGCTGCTCAGTGCAAGAACTGATATTGCTGCCATAAGGGGAGGCGGAGAAAAGTGGTAGGCATGAAGCGACCCACTGAACATGGGGTCACGACCCACCAGTTGAAAACCAAGGCTTCAGACCAATGTTACTCGGACATTTGAGTTCATTATGTATTTTCTCTACCCAAGAGTCTGACCGGTTGGGTTAGTAGCAGCTCATGAAGTTATGACTAACGCAAATGTTTGTGTTTTATTTCATATCTACATATGCCCCATGTGTACCTGTGTCTTTTTGTTCCGTTTGCCAAAAGCCAATAAAAATTACTTTAAAGAGAAAAACCCCAAACAACCTAGGAAGGACATGGTAGGAAAGGGGGTAAAACCACAAAATAGAAGTCTGTTATAGGTAGTAGTATTCCTTTAAGCGAATGAAACCTTAAAAAGGGAACATGTCACAGGCCCAGTTCCCACCCACCACTAGCAGCTGCCATTATTGAATCCCCAGAAGTATCACAGTTTTTGGGTTAATGATGTGCCTGGCACTGGTTCCAGGTGTCAGGCAGCGAGTCCCCAAGATTGGATAGGAGCTTTGACTGGGCTCCTTTAAAAACAGGCTCAGATTATGCGCAGAGCTGTAAAAAAGCCATGTATTTTTTTTTTAATAAAAGTTTTATTTTGTGTTCAACTCTGAACCCCTACATCAACAAGATAATTTATGATGCAAATGCAACGAGAGCATGGAAGAAAAACAAAAAAAAAACATAAAAACAAACCTCACATTGTTACAGCAAATTGGACTGTTAGCACGTATCAGCAGAGTCTAGCCCAAATATCTGCTATGGTGAAGTTTCCACTGGCCCTAGGAAGCTCTTTAGTGCACTTTTCTCCCTGAATGAGCCAAGTGTACATGTGTGAGAAAACAATGGACTGCAGAAATGTCAATTATGAAAAGGCATATCTTTAAATAGTATTGTTAAAATACACATTAAAAGCAGAGAAAGCTGCCACTGAAAGACTTAATACATAGGTAGTGTTTTCCCCATCCATATATTAACCGAACAGGGTTTATGTTGGTCTCAACGTACCCTTTGCAGATATTCGGGTTAGTAAGCAACTGCTGGGGCAGAAAAGTGTACCTGTTTTATACACACCGCATAGGCAGCAATAATATGGACTTGACGGTCTATACTGACAAAAAAACATTTCCTATACATTTAGTGACATCACTAGTGCAAGAGACACAAGGGTTACTGTTGTCCTTAGCAGCTACTTTATTTTTTTTTCAATGACTTAACTGGCTCTAGAACAATAACATATACATTGATTGGTCATCATGGGTCACAAAATGGGTCAGTTCACACGATACTGATACTTTTGCTTTGAGCAGATTCCAGCAAGTCCTCACGTCTTGCAATCTGTCAGGGGAGGTAGAGGGATCTTATTCGGCATGTAAAATTCACTTTGCTTTTTTTTTTTTTTTCTAAAACAGAGACTATAAACAGAAGTAGACACATTAAGGCAGGAGGAGCTAGGGACATTTGCAGGTGATCCTGTCAATAGTCAGAGAGAAGAAAAGCTATTTGGGTTGCTTCGTTAACCAGTGTGTACCCATAACAGAATTACTTTTGGTGGACTGACCATTAAAATGTTTTACATCTTAGTACTATTATCACATTTTTTGGGTCATCAAACTGCAACTACCCCTATGTGTAAGTTAACAGTACACTTTATATGCAATCATGGCTTTCCCAAGCCAACAGCAGGAAATGAACACAGAGTAAAATCAGCAAGGTTGCAATGACTCCACTGGGCCGGTCCCTCTTAAATAACATCAACAAAGAAGATGTATGATTAACAGAACAGTGGAATTATACAATGAGGAAAGAAAAAAAAAACAAAAACAGTGCCATAAAAAGTTGAAGGCCCTCTTCACACTATGATGTTGCGGAACATTGAGCTTTAACGTGCCTTGTGTGAAGAACGGCAACGGAAAAAAAACCAAAGCACCACAATGCACAGTTGTAGTGTGCTGCAGTGTGGGTCCAGTTGCACCTACTGTACTTTTGTGTTGGAGTGCCATTGAACATGAATGACGCTGCAACATATCAGACGGTGCCACATGGAATAAATGCACAATAGCAGGCGTGTTACTGTAACACAATAGTGTGAAGCCAGCCTAAATGATGGTCAAGAACTCTTTTAGAACTAAGAAAGCACACAAAAGCAAAAAGATATATGTATATATTTATATTTACATAAGCTCACACACACACAGGAGAGGGACAAAATCCTAGAGCCTGCCTAAAGTGGAACATTGTTTTTTGGTCCGTGAGGCCCACTTTTACCAGAGACCAAGGGCAGCATGCATGGAGTCAGGATAGAAACATGCTGTTGGAACCAAATGAGAATGTACTGCAATATTTAGGGGGGTGCTCTGGTTAACAAACAAAAAATAAAAAAATCTATTGACATCCCTAAGGGGAGAGAGTTCTATAGATGGTGAAAGGAAAAAAAATATTCTGCTTTTCATTTTTTAAAGATAGCTTCCTAAACATTTTCTTAATTGTTTTTCTAGGATTAATACATTTTATTACACTGAAGTTCGGAAGATTTTTGGCAATACTATATTGTTCTTTTAAAAAGCTCTTTAAAATCAAACAAACAGCACAGTTAGTTTTCGTTACACTGCATATCCCCACAGAGAAGTCAACTAAGGTTAAATACAGAAAAGATGGATTTTATTTTGCCGCCATCTTGGTGACTGCAAATTCTAGACACACTGTTTAAATTCAGCTGCAACACGTGGGCGACAGCATCTTGTGGCTTCGGTGAATGTAGAACCAGGGTGGTAGTCAGTTTTTCGCTGCAATTTTGAAGAAACTGCAAACTTTTTTTTTTTTTTCCCATATATTAACTTTGCCAAATATTCAAGTTCTAAGTTGGATTTCTTTCCTAGGTGTTTGTTTAATCTCTTCGCGGTTTTCGATTTCTGGGAGATCTGTTCAAAATATCTTCTTCCTAATGAGGATAAAACAGGATGTTAGATATGGATACAAATTATCTGACAATAAAAGGGAGTACCTTTAACAAAAAAAACAAAAAAAAAACACCTGCAATTATACACAAAAGTAGCAGCAAAGAGGCGTTATATTGTTGATTGTCCGTCAACCCAATGGTTTGTCATTCCAATCCTCATTCAATACCCCCTAAAACACTGACTAGGAACACACATGCACCAAGGGGAGTCAGAACTATTGATTTACATGCTCTGGGTTAGTGACTGGAAGTATCAAAAGGCAACAAAACATGACAGCCATGGAAATCCTAGTCTCCTAAGGAGAGGATCATAATGGCAGCCCAAAGGTTTTTTGTTTTTTTCTATCACAGGTTTTCTTTAATGGGTCAAGTGACGCAGTTTTAATAAAAATGACAGCATTTGCAAAATTTGACAAAGGAAAGCAGAGCCAGAAGGTCTTGCAGTGTTTGGACTGCACAGTCATATTGTAGCCAGGAATGCACTCCTGTGTGTAGATTGCTTCCCCCAGTCCTGATGTAACCAGTTGGGGAAGCCTGCTCTCTAACCATACACATTCAAAATGAGCACAGCGAGCAGGACCCGACATAATGCTCTTCCCAGTTCAGGATCTGAACTCCCTGATGCAGTGAGATCTCCTCTTCCTCCAAAATGGTTGAGGCACACTTGCCACGGTGTTGTCCAACTGGATCCAGATCAATAGACCTGGAAAGGGGATAATCCAGTGTTGCATAAAGAACCACATTCCCAGAAAAGCCAAGATGTAGACTAGGAGTTGAATTCTCTTAGTAGTTGTATCCCCGAGATATATCATAAGACCGATCAGACACAGGAGCTGGGACAAGGAAACCTCTATTGACCCCCAAAAGGGCAGATTAGA